TCATAGAACAAAATGGAATAACAGTCTCCAGAGATGAGGAAGTAAAGAGGGTAAGAGATGGAAAAAAGTTAAGAAAGGAGCAGAAAAAGGAAAATACAGTTAGGAAGAATTAGTTCTGATTTTCAAAGGCACAGTAGGGTAACTATTGGTTATACTGCTCTAAGATATATTTCAAAATAACTGTAAGAGTATGAAAGTTCCCAACACAGAGATGATTAACATTTGAGGAGCTGGAAATGCTTATTATCCCTGTTTGATCATTTCACATTGTATACATGTACGAATTATTGTACACTTCCAAAAGATATACAAATATTATGTCTCAATTTTAAAATTACAATAAAAAAGACAACAACTCCAAATAAGTGATTTGTCCAAAGATACAGTGCAAATGAGACTTGACAGCCGCTCCCTGGTTCCTTGGCATTGTCCTCTTTACTACATCCAAACTACACTGTCTAGGTCCAAAAGGAGTCAAAGCATATAAATAAGTCAGCGATTATAGTAAATGTATGATCAAATCTTGAGTATCCTTAGCTTCCTCTTCTAGTTGCTTCCCTCCTGGATATTTGGCTATCAAATCTCTCTCCCAGAAGGAAAGAGAAACCAGGTAAAACTCAATTATTTCCTTTCTGCTAGTGTTAACTGTTTAAGAACTCTAGTATTAAAAGGTGGGGGGGGTGTGTGCAGAGAGGTTTGATGGCAGAAACAATTTCCTAAAATAAGATCTTTAGATGATCCCTAGATTTCGGTTTTCTAGGCCACCAATATCCCATGGCTGTAGTGAGGGCTTGACAGGGCTCCACGGATGCTCCTCATCCGGCCCTGCACTCCTCTGCTCTTCTCCTTCCTGCCAAGCTGGTGCCTGTCACATTGTTGATATTTGAGAAGTAGGAAAAAGAAAAAGGAAATAAATGAAAGGAATGTGATGATTTATTCTAGAATGGTTTCTCCTTTTGTTTTGGAAAATAGAAGAGGTACAGTACTGGGAAGGAAATAAGTATGCCACTGTTCCTCCATCTTCAGCCTTAAGGACAGAGCATGGGTAATCATATGTTGGAATTAAAGAAATAGATATAGCCTGCTTATAACAGTGCAATCTCTACTTTTCACTCCTTTTTAAAACTTACTCAAACATAAGGATGTTGAGAGTGTGCAAAAACCTTAGGGACTACTGCCTTTTCTCAACAACTCTCACCAGTTCTTGTGCTTAAAATCATTTGCTGTTTCCCCACCAACTCTTCCGGATACAATTTGACTCATTAATAAGATGGAAAAAATATCCATGATATTATCCCTAACTACTTCTAATCACCCACAACACTGTCTCCCTGAAACTTAAGAGAGATACACAAGCTATAGTCCTCTGAACATACAACACTGTCCCATCATTGTGTTTTTGCCCTATACCATCCTCCACCTAGAATTTCTTTCCTACCTGTCTTGCTGGTAAATGCCCAAGCATTGCCCACAAGCCCTGCTCAGACAACACCACACCAGTGAATTCTTTCCTCAGGGTCTTAGTTACTTTTCTCTTTGCTGAGACAAAATACTCAACAACCAAAGTTAAAGGAGAGGTTTATTTAGCTCACGGTATGTAGAGGTTTCAGTCCATAGTTGGTTGGCCCTAAGGCAGGGTGGCATGCAAAGGGGCATGGGAGAAATATGGTGGGCAGAAAGCAAGAAGATAGCAAAGCAGCCAAGTAGTGGGGAAGCCAGCAACAAGCAGTGACCCTCTTTCTGTCTGATATCTTATCCAGGCTACCCACTTGTAGGGTGGTTGGCACTCACATGCAGGGTGAGTCGGCCTTAATCCTAGCATCCCACCTTGAATCAATCCCCAAATCACATTCTTGATTCCAGCATCACACACCCTAGATGGAGCCACTTCCACAAAGCCCCACCTCTGACCGTGTCTGCATGAGGCTTTGGGGGGACATCTAGACACAAGCCGTAACACCCAGCCTCTACAATATCCCTGGACATCGCTTGTGTTAGAGGCTATTTCTATTCCTTACTTAGTCCTATTATGATTTTTATTCTCTGTAATGATTTTCTTCCATACCCTTCTCTTTTGTTAGACTACAGTTCCTTGGGACCCTGAATATATAAACTTTGTTTAGTGCATATAAAAAGTAGGAAGCATAGGATAAGCTTATTTTTAAATAGAATACTCATTACATTTTAAGATAATATAATCAGTACATTGCTGTACATTGCAGAATATCTCAAAAGTATGAAAAGAGAAGAAAAATGTATTTATTATACTTTTTCACACTATCCCATTTTATATTTAGAGGCATGTAAACTTAAAAGTTTTCTGGAGGTTGGAGAAAAACATCAGATATATTATTTGAAAATACAACTAAACACTGTTTAAATATGAATATATCCTATTTCCACGTTTTCAGAAAGATAGCCTGTGGCCCTGGCATCCTTCCCTATAAGTTTGTTGTGTTATTCTAAACTGAGCAGCCAGTTTAAATATCCATTTGTACAGGGCCTTCCAGTTCTAGCACACTGCTACTCCAGCTTCTTCTGTCTCTTTTTGGGGGGCTCTTATCAGCTTCAGTCATTTTGTCACACCCCTCTGCTTTCATTCTCTCAGCATGTATTAATGTTTTTGGCTAAATTATAATTACTTACATGATTTTGATATTTATTAGGGAAGTCAGTCGCCAAACTTTTCCTGCTGGTGACATAACAAGTTACTGAGGAATAGAGATAAGTAATGGAGCAGGTATGATTTCCAAATCAACTAGTGGAACATTCATTCATTTATTCAACAAATATTTTTTCACCCATCCATTATGTTAGGCAATGGCTTTCTAGATGTGTAGAGGAGTGCTGTTTTGTCCAAGTTGTACTCACAGAATTTTCTACTACCACAAGATTTATGAGTGGGCAATGCATCCTATGTCACCTGTGATCACACTACAAGGGTTTGCCACAGCCAGCCAGGTGAGGTTCAGGTTTTGCATGGATAAATTTTCTGTGTCAGGTTACTCTTTAGTGAATAAGGAAATTTGTGTGTGGTTATGCAAAATTCAGAAACAATTGAAAATATTTAACATTTTAAAATATTTAACAGTACCTCTGGAGCACAAATATATACACCATACGCCACTTGCCTGAAAAATTGTCTCATATCAACAAATTGATCTCTTATGATAAGAAAGCTACATCTCTAGATGAGTTCACTTAGCATTTAACATAATACTGAGACTATATTATATAGTCATTTGTTTAAATACATTAATAGTGTTCACATATTGCAGATAATTAGCCTGGGAAATGGTATGTACAGTATCATTTTTTTACAGTATCATTTTAACATCATTAAATTATACCTTGAATATCACTAGGAAAGAAGCGTACAACTTTAGATTCTTTGGTTCTGAGGAAAGTAATGTGTAATATAGCAAGCTATGAAGAATTAATGAAGTATGTATTTCAGAGAAGAGATTATATTCACCAATAAAAACATTTTGGGAAATATTGTCTCAAGAAACATTTCTTAGATTACATATTTGAGAAATAAGGGTTATAAAAATCGCATTTTTCAGAAATACAGTTTTGGATTATTTTTTCTCAGTGACACTCAGGTTATGTTTCAGTTTACAAAGCAATAAAAACATCCCCTCAATTATCTGAGTAATTTGGGCCCTCAAATAAACTTTGTTTAAATTACCTCATAGTTACCACCATGATAATTATGTCAGCTTAAAGTAGGAAAGATAACAAGACATACTGGCACTATTTGGACCCAGATATTTTGGATTCAGATCCTGATTTCCCCATTATCTATCATCTCTTCGTTTCTCTTGTTGGCTCCTTTGTGGGACAGGTTTATTTCTGTTTCCCTGCCTACTCTTGGGTGGGATTGTGAATTCAACAAGGTTATAGATATGAGAAGGCACTGTGAACTACACAGCATTTCAAATGTATGTTCCTGATATAGGCCACAAAATTTTCAATCAAGAGAAATATTCCTTGAAATGTAATAGAAGAAATATCCAAACTGATTCTTGGAATCATTCACAGAATATAATTTTCTGAATTAGATACCAACAAAGCATTTTCTCAAATATTTGTCCATTTGATTTTGCTTTACACTACATCAGTAAAGTGAGTTCTGATACTGCCACAGCTACCAGTCTTTGCTCTGACCCTAAACTAGTGAAGAAAGCACCTATGCAGTGACAAAAAGTATCACTGATGTTTATTGCCATTTTACATAATGTATTTTAATGTGCATCTACATAACTTTTGTTAATTTAGTTTCCTGTATTTATTATTAGCATTTATGCTTTACCCTTCAAAAAAATTTATGGAGAAAATAGAAAGATGCAGGTCAAAGGGTACAAAGTTATAGTTATGTAGGATGGATAAATCTAGAGATCTAATGTATGGTATGAGGGTAATAATTATAGTTAATATATTGTATTATATACTGTAAATTTGCTAAGGAAGCAGATTTTAGGTACATTAACCACATGCACATGAGCACACACAAAAGTAATTAGATGATGAGATGATGGTTTGCTTGACTGTAGGAATCCTTCACTCTGTGTGTGTATGTGTATGTGTGCAGATAAAACCATGCTGTATACCCTAAATATATACAATAAGAAAACTTATAAATTCTGTTGCCATTTATCTAAACTTTTGGGGAGGGCAGTTTCTGGCAACTTCTGTCTTTTTTAGTTTTTGTGGAAACCAGGGGAGAAAACTAAGGAACAAAAAAGTTTTCTTTTCCTAGATTGTCACATGTGATTATGAAATTTTTTTCTAAACAAAATTTATAAATTCATAATTCTAACCTGGTGCTATTCAAGCTGGAAATGAAAGATATATATATATTTATGTACCTTTAATTTATATATTTATGAGTTAATTCATGTGTATACCTTTAATTTATATATACATATATATGTATATATGAATTAAGCGACAAGAGGCATCATAACTTAAAACAACACTCATTTCTTCCAGTTAAGTTTTCTAAAATAAGGCATCTCTGCTTCATTTCCCACCTCTACTTTCCCCTATCATCTTTGTGATTAATGATCAAAATGAAAGTCCTTTTCATAATAGCTGCATTAACATTGCTCCCCTTTTCCTCCTACCTAACTACTGTAGTGACCACAGGGAAAATTATTGAAAAATGAAATTATTTTAATAACTAAATTTTTCTCTGTTATTGTCGACATTTATTTTGGGTTAAGAAAAAGAAGAATGTAAGCACTATAGCCCCAAATGAATTACATAAGAATTACATGTAAAATTCACTTCCTTACTTCTTAAACCCTGTGAAGTCATGCTTACCCTGAGTGAGTTACTGAATGGCGCTCCTTTATAGCAAGTGAAGAACCCAGGTTTGAGATGATTCTGGAAGCCACTGCAGTGGTGGGGAGGACAGTAAGTGGCAGCTCCTGTCTCTTCACAAATAAGAAGCGATGTTCTCTGGGGGTTTCCCTGGAAAGGCTGAGAAATGACTAATGCATAGTGACTGGTTGCAAAGGTGTGCAGGGGTTTATAATACGAGTATCTGTGTGGGCATGTTAAAGAGATTCTTTAGTGGCTTATGTTCAAGAACACTCAAAAACACCCACTAAAATTACTGATGCCTCTTCAGTTTCATGATTATATTTTCCTGATTAGCTTGGTAAGTTAAACTGTCCTTACATGGACAGAATAAAAGATAGGTACATGTCCATACAAGAGTATTATAGATGACAAAAGGAGAGGCCTTGAGATATACTGTGTCAGTTGGTGGATTTCATGCAGAGAATCAATTTGAGGATCACAGGAAATGAAGAATGAGGAGTAGGAAAACCCTCCCAGCATCTGCACAGCTCCGGTTCATGGTCTTCCTTGAAGAAGAGAGGGCCTGATTTCATGCCTTTTCCTAGTTCAATCCTCAATGCCATCTGGGAGATGGGTTTGTCAGCAAGAGTTCTGTTACCCACCATGTTGGTGTGGAATTCAACAGTGTGACCAAAACCTGGAAAAGATGGGCTTGGTTATGTGACTGCTTGGAACCGTGCATCTCTTGCCTCAGTGCTGTTGCATCAGACTTCTCTTCTGGCTCTGGCTGTATAAATCTGCATGATGTACCTTTTAGTATATATATTTTAGTACATATATTTCAAAGGATATACAAAATTTATACTTGGTTGGTGCAATGGAGCATGCCTGTAATCTCAGCATTTGGCAGGCAGAAGCAGGAGTGTCACTGTGTGAGGCCAGCCTGGGCTGAGTGAATTCAAGGCCAGTGGGAAATACATAGTGAGACCTTGTCTCAAAAAAAGATTTTTTTTTTTTAAGTTTACATTTTACTGGCTCTGTATAAAAGTTCTAGATCCAAGCTCTGAATAACCAGCTGCTCTACTTTTATAGAATTTCCCTATAGCATATGAATTAATAATTAGAAAATTTAATAATAGTAAAATTTTTCTGAGCAATTAAAAAAATTAGTTAATGATAGTCAATATTTTTTCTTGTGATGAGTTCATTTAACAACAAATTCCTGAGCACCACCTTGCACCAGGCACTAGTCTAGGCCCTGAAAGTATTGAAGTGAACAAAACTGACCATAGAGGGAAAAGCTATGTTGAGTTAGGTGGTTACAGATGCTGTGGACAACAATAATGCAGGGAAGAGCGATGGGGTGGGGCTTATGATTTGTTGAAGAAGGCTCTCTGTTACAGCTTGTATCTAGATGCACCCCCAAAGACTTATGCGGTCATAAGTAGGGACTTTCGAAGGGAGCTGGATTAGGATGTGTGAATGTGGATGAAGGATGTAATATTGGGATTAAGAGTGTGGATAATGTAACCCCCACCTTGGGTATGGGTGCCACTAATCCGTAGGTTTGTGCCCTCTCTGGAATATAAAGGGACAGAAAGAAGGCAGGCTTGCCCCTTGTTGCTTGCTGCTGCTGCTTGCTACTCGCTACTCGCTGCCTTCCTGAGGAACAAAAAGATGAGTTGTGACTACTTGAGTTGGGAAAGACTATATGAGGAGCAAGTTTGGAGTGTAAAATAAAAGAATTTTAAGTTTAAAATACTCCAAGATATACTGGTTAAGGAATTGGATACACAAACCTGGTGTTCAGGGGAAAAGTCTGAGCTGGAGCTATGCATTTAGGAGTTTATTTAAAGCCCTGTAAGTAACTGCAAAGTTCCTATTTAAAACACTTATCGTCAGTATAGTAATGGATCTAACTAATCAAGGTACTGGAGTATGGTTATAAAGGGTCAAGTGTTAATCTTGTAGAAACAAGACTGTGTGTGTAACTGAGGATCACAGAATGAAGCCAGTGTAGTAGGGTGGAAAAGGCACCACGAGGTATGGAGAACAGCACTTTATAACCCAAATGAAAAAGTTTTGACATTTTATCAAGCAGTGTAGTGGGCCAGTGTACAGCAGTCAGAAATTAATGCCAAAGGATCATAGAGAAGAACAGAGGTAGAACAATATTTCAAAATAACTAGAAGAATCCAGAGATCCCCAACATACAGAAATATAAATGGAACTTACTCTGATTTGATCTTTATACATTGTATGCTTGTGCCAAATTACCAAATTTTACCCCATACTTATACACAAATATGTCAATTAAAATGTTAAAAATAATGATGGAGAAATTTTTGCCAAATGGGGGAGAAAAAAGACGTAAAGGAAGATTAACTCCAAAGACTGAGCCCAAAATACAAATAAAAAGGGCTGAGGTTGTAGATCAACACTCCCTGGGTTCAATCTCCAGTACAGGGAAAAAAAAAGAATTTTAAATGTGTCAAATATACTCAAACACTACTTCAGTGTTGGCATGTTTGTTTGTTTTTTTACATAAATAGGATCATGTATCATATCAACATATTATCCTTTGCCATGTTGTTTCACTTAACAATGTATGTTAGGACTTTCATAATTGTTTATGTAGATCTACTTCACTTTCTAATGGCTTTTATACACTAACTAGTGTATACTAATTATTAATTGTATATAGTGTACACTTTGTACATATTGTATATAGTGTATACTAATTACTAATACATTAATTAGTACAATGTTATTGAATCTCAAACTGATTTTTAGTAGTTACAAAAATATGCTAATAACTCTCATTGCCTCCAATTTGGGATATTTATTTCTATCATTGTTGCGTTAATCTCTTTCTCAAAGCAGATAATTATTAACTCAGAGTTTCAGATGTACAGGATAATTTGGAGATCATTTAAACCCATATTCTCATTTTATAGCTTTGAGAGCTCAGGCATAAAATAAAAGGACCTATGACTGTTTATAATTATAAGGGGAAGGATAATCATTTCTTAAGGAAGTTCCAGTCCTGGGTTAAATATAAGGTGAATAGATCAAGTGAGGCAGGTCCCAGCTTGGAGACATGAAGCTGCCCACCCCATACTGTTATAAAATTCAAACACATTCTCCTTGCTAACAGGCACTAATGACTATAATAAATTAAGGAGAGTTTAGTTAGGCAATAAAAAATTACAGTTGACACAGGGTGTAAACTTGATAGGCTAATTAACGTATTGACCAATGGATCTTTCCAGGTTAAAAACCTTGGTCCAAATTCACCCATAATATAAAGTTTTTTATATGTACAAGGAATAAAACATAATCAGTCTTCAAATAACTGTTGTACAGAGCACAATATTAGAAAAACAGAGAGACTGAGAATAAACCCAAGTTTTGTCACACTTCCTCTAAGAGTGAGGATACTTTGACTTACCTCATCATATTATGAAGATTAACAAGATTATGCCCATAAGTAGTCTAAGATTTCTGGATTTAAAAACTGCAGTTGAGTGCCAATAACATTTTCTTTATGTCTGGTCTGTGTGCTTCATTTTGTAATGAGATATGACTATAAAGTAAAGACATTAATCTTTTTATGTATCTTTTTAATTTTTTATTTTAATGTAATACAAGTAGATATTAATAAATAAAATATAAAAGCACTTCTATGAAAAATAAAATCTCGTAACAAAATTAATAGGGAATAAAATGGTAAATACACTGTGTATCATGATCTTAAAAGAATGTACGTGACTAATCTTAAACAAACATATCCCATTAAGACTCCTGTATCCAAACCCGCTTTGTCCTACCACTGGAGACTGTTTACTCTGATGATGCTGCCATTACTTATTTTCTGAACTGCTCTTTAGGAACTGCCTTGGAGCCAACTTAGAAAACACAGGAGAAAAGCAGCACCTTACAGTTTAGGGAAATTATGGAAGTATTTAGAAGTCATTAGAAACATCAACTATTCCTTTCAGGTAACTCAGTACTCTGTGGAGACAAAGTTCTATGTATCTAACAAAAAGCAGTGAAATAAGAAGAGACGTGAGTTTAAAATTCTTATGGAGTTATTACAAGGATCATCATAAACTTTTTTTTTCCTTAAATTCTTTTGTTGGTACATTTTAGGTATAAAATGTTTACATTTATCATTGGGTGCTTGTACCTGTACATGATGGTTCTTATCTTGGTTCTTATTTTTTTTTCCCCATTACCTGTGCATCCTTCACCCCCTCCACCCTTCCCTATATACATAGATTTTTTTGGTATTTTTTTTCTTTTCTCATGATTTTTCCTTTCCC